TATATTATTTTCAGACATTTGATTAGACTCACTATTTCCTTCAATTACTTGACAAGAGTTACTGTTTTTCTCAAATAATTGTAAGTTATTTGCTAGTTAGTGATCATTATCAACTCAAATTTGGGAGCTTCATTAGCAATAGCTTGAGTTTCATCTTGAATATTAGATATCAGGTCTGGGTTGTTATTTTGTTCATATATAATCTCTGACTCATCAGAACTATAAATATTTTTGCTCTTATTTGAACTATTGTTAGTATCATTCTCAACCTGACAATAGTTTTTGTAAACTTTCTTGTAATTTATGAGACTTGTTAAATGACCAAATTCTGTTTTACACACACTACAGACAAACATTGAAAAAAAATCCAAAAAAAAAAATTAAATAAAATAATTTAGTAATTTTATATCAATTATTATTTTAATAATAAAGAACTATTGGATAAGTTTCTTTTTTTTTTTTTTTTACCTTTTTTTTAAAAATTTTGTCTTATTTCAAACAAACTGCCAAAATTTGTTAATCAAAATTTTTTTTTGCCTTTATAGTAATTTTTGGCTTCTCAATCATACTATCGATTATAAGATAAGCATCATACCCCTAATGTTATTATGCAATAGTGCAATCATGATTTTTCTTTTTAAAACAATAATTATAATTGAAAATTCCAGGTTAGTATATAATAAGAGAAAATAGTAATTGAACATTCTATTAGGTTATACAAATTAATTAAATGTTTTAGTAATTGATCAATTTGGGTAATCGAATTAATGCAATAATGTATATTACACAAAGTAGTTGTATATAGATTTTCAAGAAAACAAAAATATTAATCTTTTTTTACTCTTAGTTTTTTTACAATTGATACTAGATTCCAAAGTGTTGTTAAACGTAAATATCAAAAGTTCAATCAACTTCATGAAGTTCTTACAACTTTACATCTACTTTAAGAATAAAAGTATTTTAAATACATTAATGCTACAATATATACAACGCATGAAGACAAATTATATGTCACTTCAATTTTTTGAAATGATACTTTGTGGCTCCAGTTATTTTTAATGTTACTATAATCGATATATATTCATCCAACACTTAATAAAAGCTATCACTATATAAGTTCGTTGAAATAATAATAATAAATAAAAAAAAAAGATAATCAATTTCTAAATAGTAACACAATTAAAGCAACATATCTTTTATTTTTAATTCTGGATACATTACTAACTCATGCTTGTTGCATTATCTTTATGCATTGTGTAATCTGTACTCTACACCTATTGTAATCAGACTCTTTATAAAAATTCCTAAAATTCATACAGGCAAGACTCAATAATTTTTTATACCTTAAAATCTTCTTTTTTTTTAATCTAATGTCTTCTAAAAGTCGAAAGCGTAAAATTGGTTCAAAACAAAATAAAGTCATTTTAGTAACTATCTAGGATCTAGGTCGACTTTTATCAAATATTTAAGCATATTATCTTTGATAGGCATTGGATACTTTGAGATCTGGTACTTTTACCGCAAAAAAAAAAAATTATAAATGAACCTATTACACAACCTTCTAAGCTTAACAATGATATTGAAAATACTGATGCTGATGACATTGATGATAACATTCAAAATAGTCATTATGTAATTACTGAAAGTCTATCTTGTTTATCACTTAATGAAATTCCTACAAATATTTCAGAAAATTTATCTATTAACTTAGAAGGTTAGCTTTAGAAATGCAAATTCATTGTATTTTCAAATTAAATATTAACTATTAGATCAAATTAGTCCATAGTAAAGAGAGCAAAATGGTAAATTCAATATTGGAGATTCCAAACAATTATTAATGCAAAATACATCAATTATGAAAAAGCAAGAGGTCTTAGAGATTACAATTACCAGCTAGCCAATAATATTAAGATCTTACAATCTTCATATCAAAATATAAAGTCAAAAGTTAAGGAAAATGATTGCGAATAGTGGCAGGTATATGTATTATATTTTATTATAATACTAATGTATAGGACTGATTTTCCATTCGAGTTATTTATTAGCAAATAAGTACCACCAAGTGCTCAACTGAAAATTTTGAGTCAGTATGAAGTTTGAATTACTTTTTTTAATAGTTTATTTTAAAGGTTCAGTAAACTAATCAAACTCTAATTTATTTATTTATATATATATTTTTCTGAAAAACCTGCAATTCTTCATTATAAAAGAGCTACAGGTTTTTCTTAATAGCATTCAAATAAAACATTAGGTCAGTATGAAATTTAAAGTACTTTTTTTTTTTTTTAATATTTTACTTTAAAATCTCAGTAAACTAATATAACCTAAAAATTTTTTTTTTTTTTACTAATTATTGCACTATAATATAAGTGGAAAATCTGTCCTATACTATCGATTCTATTAAACTATAAAAAATTATACTATTTTATTTAAAATTTAGAAAGGGGCAACACAAGGTATTAGAATCACTGTAGACAATTAGCTTTATCTTAATGATGAAGTTTATGAAGATAATATTCGAAAAAAACTTGAAATCCTCTGTCTGAAAAAAAATAAAATAATACAAAAAAAGCTCAAAATGGGAGGCTTTGTTTAATAAAATTGAAAATACAGTATGTATAGTTATCATTCAAGCTATTTGAAACAGCTCAACATAATGTGTATTAATTATTATATAGTTTGGATCGTTCTAAATAACTTGGACAGTAACTTTAATTGTTAATTTAAAATCTTTAAATTAGATCAGTGCCAAATCTTGCAGATATTATAAAGCATTATTTGGACCATTTCGTCATACTGTGTTTGAACATGTTTTTAAGAACAAAGTTTCTCCAACTGTTAATTCTGAAAGTTCCGAAGCTAATATAATGACCTGGAAATCAAGTAATGAAGTATAGTGGTGCATCGAAAACTTAGATGCTATAATGGAAGAAGAAGAAAGAACCTATCTTCAAATGGTTACTAAAAAAGTAATCAGTAGACAACCTACTAACAATCAATATGCTATTATATGAGCTATCTTGCATAACTTGTTTAATCCTAAAATCATTAAACTTAAGTTTGATGAGAGATATTTGACACAGAAATTACAATCATTTTTGGTAATTTTTATTTTTATTTTTTTATTTTTTATTTTTTTATTTATTTTTTTGGGGGGTGTACGTTTTTTAATTGCTTCATAATTTTTACAGTCTGAAAATACTGAAAATGATTAAGGCAAAGACAAAGAAGATTCAGATGCATCTGTTAGCAAATGCCATAATGTAGAGCATACTTATTATCATCCTTTACTATAATAATTTATGTGAATTATACACAAAGTGGAGTATTAATTAAATTGGTATTCCAATATAATTTTATATATATGTATTAGCTATTTGAAATTTATGTAAAAATTATATAAATTTATAAAGTCATTATATTTTTATATAAAATTTATTTAAAATATATTAAATCAAACATATAAATTTTATATAAATTTGGGTTTATTAAATTTTAAATAAATTATTATTAATTTCTATATAATTATGTATTTACAGGTTATATAAATTCTAACTTCAATAAATTAAATATAAAATTTTAATAAATAATATACAAATAACATTTAAATTTTATATAAAATTTAAAATTATATATTTATATAAATACTATTTAAATAATTTATAATGTTTATATAATTATATAAATAAACATTATATAGATTTTAGTTTTATTAAATTTATGTAAATTTTTTTAAATTTTATTTAATATTTATTTAATATATATATATTTATTATATTTATATAAAATTTATACTATATAAGTCTACATTGGGTTTGTAAATCTATATAGAATTTTTAAATATAATTTATATAAAAATTCTATATAACTCTAAATAAAAATAACTTTCGGATGTAGTAGTTATTAAGATACTTTTATTAAAGTATTAAAAAAAATTTTGGTATAGCCTTTTTTTTATAGATATTGAGTTTTTTAAAAATTCATACAAAGATATTTTAACAATTATCAAGCTAAATTTAACAACTTTTTTTTATTTAAATTTAACAGATTTTTAGAATTTAAATAAAAAAAAAAAATTTATCAAATTTGGCTTGGTAAATATCAAAATATCTTTGTTTAAAAAATCAAAAAAAATTAAGTTTTGATTAATATTTTAAGACTTTGAGCAAAGATATCTTAGCAACCACTAGGCAAAATTCAATAAACTTTTTTATTTAAATTTTATAAATATATAGTATTTAAATAAAAAAGTTTATCAAATTTAACTTAGTAGTTGTTAAGTTACTTTTGCTCAAAGTTTAAAAAAACTTCAATTTGTATAAAGATATAGTTAGCAAATTTGGAAGTATGAATAGCAATTCCTATAATCATTTAAATAATTAATTATTAATATAGTTTTTATTGCAATAATTATATTTTTAATAATTTTATTTGATTATATTTAGTAACTTTTATAAAGTTTAAACAAATTTCTTTTAATAAAAATTTTTAACAAATATAATTTTTTAAAATTTTATAATTATTATAACTTTTTTTTTAATTAACATAATCTCTTAATTGATAACTTTTTATTAAATTTATAAATAATATTATAATTATAATAAAAGTACAACTAGTTATATATATACTTTTAATATTTTAAATAGTTTATCTAAAAGTCTTACACTAGCTATTATACTTGCAACCTAACTATAGAGTTATCTATTTAAATTTTTTGGTTATAACTGCTACTATACTCTCTATCTAACCAAGATACAATCTTATTATTTATAGATATAGATCTATATAGTATCTATAGATTTTGTAGCAAACTAGAACTAATTATTTATTTTTAAAATAAATTTAATAGGAAAGTTATATTCATAACACCATGTTATATAATACCCTATACTAACTCTATACTATATTTCAAAAATGTACTAAGTAAACGGGATTAGGTATTTTAAGTAAAAATGTTCAGAACTCATGAAAACCTTACAAGAACTGAAATTAGAACCTTATATCTAATATATTGTATATTATATTATATAAAAAAAACCTATATATCTTAAAGCTGCACCCTAACCCTAATCTAACTCAAACTTAAACTATATAGGGTGTTATAATAACACGGTGTTATAAATATAATATTTTAATTTAATAATATATTATATATTTTATATATATTTACTATTTATATATTTGGTAACTTCTTTTTAATTAATATATATTGTACTATTGCTACTATATCTATATTTAAAGCTATTTTTTATAATATTGCTATAACCAAAAAAATTGATTAACTCTTCTTGATAATCTCTTAGACCAACTTTTCAAAACAAAAAATTTTAACAAAAATAGTAAAACTATATTAAAAAAGAAGGACATAAGACTGATAAGAACTATAAACTAGCACTTATTATTTAAAAATAGTTCTTATATGCTATCTTTTAATAGGTTTAAAGCTTATCACTCACTATAGGAATAGTATTTGTTATTTAGAGATAGTTCTCATATACTACTTGCTAACATGTTCAGAGTTTATCACTTACCAAAAAAAATATTAGCAGTGTGCTCAGATCTACTTGTCTTATTATTTTTAAAGAAATACATACTTTCACTTAAGAAAAGTACAAGGTCTATACTCTTTACTATTATTTACTTGTATCTATAACAAAATTTTTGAAAAAAGTGGGCAAAACAGCTTACCCCTATTAAAAGATCAGCATTGTTTACTCTTTCCAAATTCATTTATCTAGTAGATTGCAATCACATATTCTGTTTAATAATAAACACATTGCTATATCATACAACAGATCTATTGTCTAGTTCACAGTTAAAAGTTTACTCAAAATTGATTGTATAGTTAGAAAGAAACTAATATATTAAGACAAAAACTTACAGTAAGATATATAGATATTGCATTTGTTATATAATTTTTAAAGCTTTGTATAGATTATAATAGTACTATTAGGTCTTTTTTTTCATTTGTTATTTTTTCTTTTTCAAAATTTGTACTTTATTTTTTTTTGGTCTGTCTATTTTTTTTTATTAGTTGTTTTTATTTAAATTTTTTTTTATTTTTTTTTTGTCTTGTGCTCTTTGAGAAGAAGAAAAATTAAAAAAGAAATTAGTCCTGATATTTTAGTTCTTTAAGAACCAACATTGAAAACAAAAGAGTAAAAACCTCTTTTAGACAAGTTCATAAAAAGAACTTTTTTTAGCTTATCTATAAGCTTTTGTGATAGGTTGTGTCTAGGTACTGAAATAAGCAACCAGGTGAAGTTAGGCTTTAGATTAGTCTTAAAAGTAAATATATATAAATTGTATATACTAATAACTAAGAGGTCAAGTTATAACAAAACTTATTAAAGAAATAAAAAAAAATAAAAATAAATAATAATAATAATATTGCTATAATACAGTCTAAATCTCAATCAATAATTTTTTTTATTAATCTTTTATTATTTACTTTTACTTTTATTAGATTTACAAACTCTAGTACTAATATCCTATTATCTTTATATTCTATAATTTTGGTTTATTCAAACTTTTAGCCTAGTAGCCTAGTAGAACTAATTTGTTTAGATTTAGATTTTTTTGGTTTAAGTTTAATAGTTCTTTGATTCTTAATATATATTTTTGTAGTATATATATATTTTTTTTAAAATCTTATTCTAGAATTATTTACTAGCTACTTATTAACAAATTAACTAATAAATATACAACTAGTATAGCTTTAGTGACTTTGGTAGCCAGATTGGCAGATTCTTTTGCTCAAAAATTTTTTGTTGCCCAAATTCTTTAATTTTTGTTCCAATTAAGATTTGTTTTGTAATTTTATTAAAGATCTGCTACTTTTTAACTTGGGAGTTGCCAAGCTAGGTTTGAATTTTCAAGTCCTCTTTATCAATTTTATATAATTTTAAAAGTCATATTATAATTACTTATACCAGTTTGTATTTTTTTGTATAACTCAAGTGTTGTATAAATACTTTAAAAATTTTTAGTGCACAAAGTGCATTAGTGTAACCAAAGCTACAGATAATAAAACCCAACTTATTAATAAAAGATCTATTACTATGATACAAGTATTCTTGTATAAAATATTACTAATAGAATTTGAACTTAGTATTATAGTCAAACTAGCTTGAGGTGCAACAACTCTATCACCACTCTAAGTTGCTACATCTATTTAATTGTAAAAAAACTTTACCTTTTTAATAATAAATTTAAGTACAAAAATTCTATTATAATTGATATTAAATAACTAATTTTTGATATAAAATAAGAATTATATAGTAATTAAAATATGATATACTTTTATTTTAACATAAAAAATAGAAATGTAGCTTAATAAAATTTAGAGTACACAAAAACAAATCAAAAATTATTTTAGCATAGAAATTTGTATACTAGATAGTTTAAGAATAATTATAAGCAGGCTGCTTAAGCAAACAATTAAAAATTATATATATTGTTGTACTTTTATTACTATAATAGTTTTGTACTATATATCTAAATATATATATATTAATAAAGCTTATTAGAGTCTAGCTTTAGCAAAAAAAATAAAAAATAAAAAAATTAAAAATAAAAATTATTTTTAGCACTTGTTTAATATATATATATCTAAAAATATAAAGCGCAACCTGCGTTACCGGGAACCTGGGATTTTTCCTGGGTCCCCTTAATATAAAGCGCAACCTGCATAACCAAAAAATCATGTGACTACTTATGTAACTTAGATTTTGGTTTGATTAAATTTTCTTTAACAATTAAAGAAAATTTTAGAAAAGTATTTTCCGGGCAAAAAATTTGTTTGGCGAAATAAAATCGCCTCGGAGGATCACGAGATAGGGAGCAATTTAGTCTTCGTG